CCCCCTCCCTATCCCCCGTTGATTGAAACATCTAAACGAACGAACGGGAGGAGGGGGGGGGGGAAGAGAGGGAGGGGGTGTCGTTAAAATGGAAATCACGTTTCAGGCCGGTCATAAAACGTGCATCGTTTCACCTGTAATTCATGCAGGATAAAATTCCTTTGTACTCCAGGTTCCGATAAAAAGTAATTCGAATTTAACGTAGTTTGTCCAAAAGTTGGCACGAAATTTCATCGTTTTCACCCCCTCGAGAATTTCGTGCAAGAGAAAACTAAAAATTAATTTTCATCTCTGATAATTTTATTCAAATTGGCTCAAAAGGAGAACGAAATTGAACGAAGAACAAAAAAAAGAAAAAGAAAAAGAAAAAGAAAAAATCTAATCCAATGCATCGCGTTTCAAGATTTCACTCGTTGAGAAATGAAAGATCAAGCTGAAAAGGATTAAACGTATCTCGTATCGGATTATCAGATTTCGTAGGATAATAAGCAGGGACATATTTTGCATGAAAGTTAAGGGATCGAGATGCTTTGATAAAAAAAAAAAAGAGAGAGAAAGAAAAAGAAAGAAAAAGGAAAAAAGAATAATACGCGAGATCACGATCTTTTTGTAATAAGCTTATAAAGAGTAAAAATGGGATCGCGTTCTAAACAGGGATTCTCGCTTTTCTTTGACCCGTTTTTCCTTTTCCTTTTGCCCGTTCCACGGCTTTCTCTTTATACACACAGGCCGCTTAAAAGCCTCAATTAATTGCAATCCGTTCTCTCGAAATGAGATCTTACACCGGCGGAAGAATGGCCGCGTTAAAAAGCGTTAAAACACCTCCGTTTTCCATCCCCTTATTGCATCCCCTTATAGCCCAGTTTAAATTATTAAACGCGATTACCACGATACGAAGAGGGAGGGGAAAAAAAAAGAGAAAAAAAAGAAAAAAAAAATAAGATCAAAGCTGTACCCGAGAAATAATTAGAAAACTTTCTGAAAATTGCCACAGTTAGCTCGCCTTTTAATTCGATTATCCAAGGTAATGTTAGAGAATCGGGAAGATTTAATCGTTTCCCCGACGAATTAATATTAATCCGTGATAGACAAAATAAAATGGAAAAAGAATCGTTTAATTAATTTAAAGGAACAATTTCTCTGGAATATATTTCGTTTCTAAAAATATATATATATATAAATTATTTCGATTTTTAAAAAGAGAATAAAAAAAAAAAAAAAAAAAGGAGGAAAAGAAGAAAACTCTCGATACTCGGAACATTTTCGCGATTCTTCGAACACGGTATTCAGCATCCATCCTTAAAGCTCACTGCAACGTTAAGCCCGCTAATTAATTGGCGGCCGGTTCTCACGCGTGTGCCAACCGAGTTTACATTGGCCCTCCGGCTCCCTTTCTAATTATAAACTTAATTAATAACCCGATCTTTTACGCTTATGAATCACAATTTTCTTAGACGCGGCGCCCGCCTTCATTCGCCACCGTGGATCCATATTATCGCCGCAAGCTTTTAATCCTGACCGAGCGACTTCGGTGCACCTAATTAACGACATAATTAACGATCCATCCACGTCTCTTTTTCGCTCCGGTCCTACGCTCTACTAACATTTCTCAAAGAGACGTAATTAGAGATGCGCCGGGACGCGACTGGTACAAAGATATCATATAAATGAGTTTAACTTGAGGGAGGGGAGGGGAAAAAACGGGGGAAGGGAGAGGAGGGAAGGGGAAAGGGAGAAGGGGGATAAATCAAACTTGAAACTGAAAGGGAGTACGCGCGAATTTTCTGTCATATTTCCAAATGAAATTTACTTTTCTTTTTTTTTTTTTCTACGGTATATAACCTACGAACAAAAGAGAAACTTTAGCGAGCTTGAAAACGAGGATCCAATTTTTTTCTATCGTTTCAAATTATTATCGTTATTATTTAACTCTTGAGAAATTTAATTTTTCATAGAATAACTTGGCCACGGAAGAAAACTTTGAACGGTATGTAAAGTGAAGATCGAAAATTTTTCAAATTTCAAAATGAAAATTTCGTCGAATTTAGGAAGAGAGAGAGAAAGAGAAAGAGACGAGAGAGAGAGAGAGAGAGAAAGCTTTCTATCGCTTTATTGGAAATTTTATTGGAATTTAATTTTCTTTATGGGCTAACTTGAAGAAAGTGAAACTTTAAAAATAAAGATTCGATTTTTCTGTCGTTTCAAATTTTATTTCTCCGTTAAAATTTATTTTATTAACTGAATATAAAATATTCGTAGGATTATTTATTTTATCGTGAGTGTGAAAATACGTTATTTATATTTTACCTATCAAAAAAGAAAAGTTGTTAATACGGTCGTTGTTGCAATCTTCTTTTCTCGGTTCCAGCTAATTACCAACACCGACGACACCATCCCCTTATCAAATATCTTTGTCGGTCAGTTATTGCTTTAATCATGACAATTAACGTTCCATTCTCGTCTGTGTTAAAATTGTATATAATGTGACAGATGTATCACAAAGAGAAGAATACTTTTATTGGATTAATTAAACCGGTTTATCAAAGGATAACACGATCAGTGGATGAAGCGAAATTAAGTGAATATATCGCGGATGAATCGTGAATGGCGAATTAACGAGGAAATATTCTCCATTTCTCAAAATTAGAATATTTTCTCCTACATTTCGTAAAATTAATAATATTCCGCTGCGATTAATACGTTCGTTTATTTTTTGTTAAGAGATACGAGTGTGGCGCAAAATTATATAAATTATATATTATATTAAAAAGTAGCAAAAAAGAGGTGAAAAATTTGTAAACGATGAACAAGTTCGAAGAGAAATATTGAACGAATTACGTAGAAAATGAGATTAATCAGGGATTAAAAAAAAGAGGATATAAAATATAGTTTTTAAAGGAGAAGAACATTCCATGGAACAAATTGACCAGTAAAAATATCCTTTTAAACTTTTAAATTAATAATTAAATAATTAAATAATTACCCCGATAAATCGATCGTATATATATATATAAAAAGAAATTCGTGAAAAAGTATTTTAATGTTACTATCACAAGTTACATAGAAAAAAAATTGGTCTCTCATAAAGTATATTCTTTTTTTTTTTTACAGAATTTAGATGGTCATTATCCATTTTCCATTAAAAAATAACGATCCCTTTCCATTAAAATAATAACGTCCACGGAGATACCAAAAAAAGTTTTTGTTCGTCGCGAAATTTAAATTATAAATGATATACGTATATATATATGTACATAAATTAAAAAATACTACTACTACAAACAACTTCGTTTATGTAAAACTTATTATTCGAGTCGAGAAATCGTATTTATAATTGATATTAATATTTGAAATTAATGCAATGGAAATATAAATGCAATTTTCGCGCGTAAAAAATTATTCATATATTTTCCGTTATAACAAATTATAATTATATTATAAAAGGCATTAATTAACGATGAAAATTAAAAAAAAATATTAATTATTTAAGAAATAATAACAGAAAACTTATTTTCCATAATATTCGAAGGGAGGGGATAGTCCCCATTACGATCAAACGCGAGGTAACAACGTTGATCTCGGTGAGCTCGATCGTTCACCTTGCAATCATTCGTTATTGAACTCTTACACGAGACGCATCGAAATATTTTTAGTTAGACAGATAGCAATTTTTAATCGTGACATTTGGTCTTATAATATTTTAACGCATTATTCTTTTATTATAACAGTATAATATAGATAATCTCATATGGACATTGGCTATTCAATTTCTTTTTATTATTTTTTTTACTATCTTTATATATTATCGAACTTCAACTTTTTCCAATATTGAAATATAGATTTTTATCTTCTTATTTTTTAATTATTAATTCGTTAATGGACATTGGCTATCGTTTTAACAATTGAATTATCAATCTACTTCTACGATATTTCTTTATATTATTGGACCTCAATTTTTTCCAATATTGAATTGAATTTTTTTTATTTTATTTTTCATTTATAATTTGTTAATAGACGTTGGCTATCGTTCTAACGATTCGATTATCAGCTTATTCCTGGAATATTTCTTTATATTATTGGATTTAAATTTTTTCCAATATTGAAATAAATTTTTATCTATCTTCTTATTTTTTAATTGTCAAACGGTACTGACTATCGTTATAACAATTGAATTATCAGTTATTTTGTTAATTTATTTTTTAATTAATTAATTATTTATTCATTTTTTTTTAAATCGATTTATTTATTCACTTATTCACTTGTAAATTTAATTATTTATATATTGCTTACGTATAATTAAATTATCATTTCATATTTTTAAATTATTTTCAACTTCTTTGAAATTTAAAATTTATTCAAATTTTTTTCTTATGTTAAATTAAATTTAATAATTTTTTTAAATTTTATTCTTTGTACGTATATATGGATCTCGACGTAGTAGTCACCTCCTCGCTTGGTGAAATCTGGTAATTGGCATCGCTTTCATATTATATGATTAAAATTATTAAACTAGAAAAATTTCGTTAAAATTTAATTGTATTTGTGAGAATTTATTACAAATATCAGATCATAAAGATTACATTAGAAGCATTAATTTTTAGAAAACGATAACAATGAATTATGAACTACACTTAATTTCCTTTCTAATATGTTACGAACAATTTCTCTTTTATATTTTACAATATACAGTATTTATTTAACAAGATTTTGATATATCGCAAGCAATTTCGAACATTTAACGATAATTTATTGAAAATTATTATCTAAACTGATATCACGAATAATCACGAAATGTAATTATTTTAAATTCGTTACATTTCGAAATATAAAAGATACATTTTTAAATAGCAATATTTTCTTTGAAACAAACGTTCAACGAGAAAAAGAAGGAAAATATATCGAAACGATATGATTTATTTCTTTTTCCACCCCCTTCCCTCCCCTATTAATATCAATTTTAATCTCAATAAAATTTTTGCAACCGCGCGCAATACGATCTTGGCTTCGTGAAACTTCTATCCAATCCTTCAATGAATAATTAGAATCACTGTTTCCATCCCGATTATATTTTAAATCGTATCGTATTAATAGTCTTTTTTTTTTAAATCTTTAAATCTTCGCGCGCTAAATATTAGAGTGGATGGACTTTTGTCGAGAGGACAAGACAGCTTACCTCCACATCCTACACGAGAATAGCCTTCGCTATGACTTGCTAATGAGCCGTAGAAGCGATCAATCGTAATGATCTTCGCGTCCAATGGCGAGTCGCATGCATTTTTGTTCCACCGGTGGCTCGATCGTGTCGTAGGACGAAAGATCAGAATCGACGCGAGCGATTGATTCTATTCGTAGATATTCGCAACATAGTGAGTAATAACTTATTTTTCTGTGTTTTATTTTATTTTTAATTTGGGCTAGATCTTTTTTGCAGATCGCGTTTTTTAATACTTACGAAAGTTTTTTTATTATTTCATTCCATTATTAATTTTTTGAACGATTCAATTTTCGTATTATGATATCGTTCGATTTTTATCGCGCAAGATATTTCTTCGTGATAGATAGATTTCGAAATCAAAGCAATAATTTTTGTTTTCTTATTTTCCAGCGTATATGCTTTGATGAAGGAATCGTTTGAGATTTTTAAATTAATGTTTAACTTGGAGTCAATTAATTTTATTTTACGTTCAATCTTAGTTTTCTTTCTTTCTTTTTTTCATAAATAAGTTTTTCATTGATTTTTAACTTTTTCTTTGCTCAACATCTATCGATTTTTATAAAAAATAAAATTTTCATGATATTTGTTAAATTGAAAAGATGGAGTTATTAAATAGAATTTGAGATAAAATTGGATTTTTTTTCAATCAAAGAATATTAACCCGTTAGAAGGAAAAGAAAAAACGCACTAATATCTCTTTAGCTCAGAATTTTCAGATTTGGACCCGTGTCCATTGCTTTCATCTCGCTCACAAGCTATTTGAGCGAGAGAGAGAGAGAGAGAAAGAGGCACGATGGACACTATGACCGTAAGTTCTTATCAGCGAGTGACGATGAGTTGGCTATCGTGCGCGACGTATTTTCCACGTTGCGTGCGCGTGTATGTGTGATTAGACTGTGGAATTGCGTCGTTACGGTTATTATCTCGCTTATTGTTATTAATTGAACAATATTTCATCCTCCGTGAAATATTGCAAATAATAATCTTATCGATTTTAATTATCAAATTACAATAAAAATTCTTTACTCGTTTTAACTTTATTCCTTTAAAATATCCGCCAATTCTTTCCCACCATAAATATCAATATATAAAAATACGATTTTTAAATTCACGCAATTGATCATGTCAGTCGATCGGTCGATTTCAAAGCCATCATTTTATATAATAATCGTGTTTTCATCCCTTCTTTCGTATCTCAGATTTCTCTTTCTTTAATTTCTTAACATTTACTTTAAATTGTAAATATTATTTTTATATTGTTTCTCAGATAGACGAGTCTCGATCCTCGGTGATTACCTTGCCTTGACAAGACGACATCGCTCTCCAAAGTGTGATTGAAGAAAGTACGCGTCAAAAAAAAAAACCTAACCTAACCCAACAATCGATTCAAACGTCGCGTTAGAAACGAATTACGCGTCGAAATCGAAGATGAAATCAATTTTTCGAGCCAAGAGCTACGTTAATTATTTGTATGGTCGGATGGAAGAGAAGAAAAAAGAGAGAGAGGGGGGAAGGGAAAGGGCGTAAAAGATACGTTCGCAGATCGCAGAGAGGGGAAACGTGGAAATTAAACGTGGAGGAAAAGGGGCGAAATGAAAGTTGGCCGGGAAAACTGTTGCAAAGTTACGTTTTTGTCGGGCACAATTGCAAATACAATTTTGCGCTCCGGCAAATTTACACGGCGCTCACGACTCGTCTCGGTCGCGAAATTTTTGATTAAACGTCATCCACATCCGTTTTCGCGGGTCCTTACAACCCCTCCTCCCCTTGGAAAGACGGTAGCTTCGGTTTAAACGGTTATCCATCCGGGATCTCCATTTGATCAAGACCCCCCCCACCGCTAATTGGAAGTAATCTTATTGAGCCGCGATTTCAATTTGATTATCTGATTTCGCTAAATTAGCGACTCGGTTCATTCAAAGCCGCGGGCCAGAATTCCGCGCCCGGATTTGTTGCCGATTCAATTACAAACCCTCTCCGTCTCCGACCTAACATACCGTGTACCGGGAATATTTTACGATTCGATTAGCAAGTTGGATCCGCGCGATTTCGATTAAAACTTGCGCGGCGAAATAAACCGCGGCGAAAAAAGAAAATCGGGAAAACGCGATTCGGAAAATAATATTCGCCCAACAAGTCGAAATATTTCGAACATAGAAACGTCGCGGAAAATTTCGGGGGAAATATTTATTTTTCCCCGGTTGTTATTATCAATTATTAATTTATCATCGAATCGAAACAAAATACACCCCAGAAAAGGGTGTAAAATTATATATTCTTTCGAGTTGATGAACGAAATCTTGGAAACGTTCTAAGCAACATCGTGCAAGCGAATTTCAATCACCGCGCATTTTCTTTTCGAGTCGCGGATAATTCTTCTTCATCCATTTTAAACATTTTAACCTTAAGATCTTCGATTTTAAAAGCGCAAGTCAGAGATCGGACTGTCGGTTGAATTTTTAAGCAGAATAAAATTATTACGAAGCCGATAATTGAAAAATTAAACACAAGCCTTGGTTTACTCTTCATCGATTATCATAATCAGCACCTTGAGCTTTTTTTCTTTCTTTTTTTTTTTTTTTCTTTTTTTTTTTGCATATGGCGTGATCTTTGTATATATTTAATGTTTGCATAAATGAATAAACATGCGCGGTCTACGATAAAAACATTTTTATTCGCGCGTTCCGTTCTGGCATCGCCACGATAAATAAACGATAAAAAATAGAGGGAGAGGAGGGGGAGAGGATAGGAAGCGTATTGGAAAGGATTGAATTACACGTTTCCTTAGGTGTGCAAAATCAAATTGGCTGGCAAGTGTGATCACGAACATGTGATATAACCCATCGTGATATAAGAGAGAGAAGAGGGAAAATTTAGGGAGATGCGGCTCGATCGTATCAAGTTCGAATGCCAGCCTAGAACACGATGATCGGTGTTTCAATGCGCGTTGCGTGGCTTTCCGCATCGTGTTGAGAATTATTTTGGGACGGGGACGGGAGGACCGGTGCCAAGAATAGTCGACACGCTAATAGCGGGTTGACAAGTACACCGTTGGAAAATGAGAACGTTTGTGACGTGATCTCGAAATCGGCCGTGGCGCTCGTGCACACCGACCGCTCGTAAATGTCCAATAAATATAAATAACATCGAGAAACCGACGGGGCGATGAAAAGTCGCCCACGCTAACAAAAATCTATCTCCCATAAAAACCGATTTTAACGTTTTTCTCTCCTCCTTTTCTCTCTCTCTCTCTCCCTCTCTTAAATCTTTTAAACTCTCTTTTATCGTTGTTTAATCCTTCGATCGAGAATCCCGATGAAACCCCGCATCTAAAATTTTTTGCATCTTTGCAAGTCTAATTCCTTCGAATCTCGTTCCTTTTTTGAATCTTTGCATTTTTGCTTTTTTGGATCTCGTTTCCCGCGAATCTATCTCCCCACGTCCGATTTCCAAGATATTGTCGATCGTTCAAAATCGCATCCAAGTTTTTTTCGATTTTTGCATCTTTCGAATTCTAGTTTTTCTTTCGATCCTTTTTTTGAATCTTTGGACTTTTTTTCGATTTCATTTCCCGCGAATCTATCTTCACACGTCCGATTTCCAGAATATTATCGATAATTGTCGATCGTTCAAATTTTCTTCGAATTTTGCATCTTTCGAATTCTAGTTCTTTTTTCGATCTTTTTTTGAATCTTTGGATTTTTTTTCGATTTCATTTCCCGCGAATTTATCTTCACTCGTTCTATTTCTAAAATATTATCGACAATTGAATCATTTAAAATAGCAATTGTTCATTTTTTTAGTCGCTGAGATACAATCGAGCAACCACTCGAAACGACGTTTCTTAATGTTTCGCAAAAGGAATACTTTTTGCGTTGAAACAGAGAGAGAAAGAGTGAGAGAGAAGGAGTGCTTCGATTTTTATTTTTATCTCGAAAACGAGACGAAGCTAGAATTTCTCGATATGGCGTTAATGACAATAATTTGAATCCCGAATGTTTGCTCGGATCGGATAAGGAATCGTTTCAATAATATCGAGCCCATTTTCGTTCATCGAAAATTCCATAAAATTCACATTTACGATCGAGATAATGAGAAAATAGGACGAAATGCAAATTGGCAAGCAACGGGGGGGAAGAGAAAAACAATAAAGCCGACCATTATTCATCGAGGAGGAAAACATCTCTAACGTGCGGGGAAACTCGATCGAAGGGCACGGGGAGGCGTCATTATATTCTCTCCAACTCCATTAATTAAACGGCCGTTAACGCGCAATGTTTATGATTGTTAATGCGCCAGGTAATGTATCAAATTATACCATACGAGCGGATGTTCTATCACAATTCAATCGCGAAACGAAGTGAAACCTGGGAGAGGTTGATCAACGTCACAACGTCCACTACTACTCTATTATCTCCTCCTCCCTATCCTCTTCCCCCTCCTCCTCCTGCGTCTGTATATTCTAACGAACTTTCGTTCCAACACCTCAACTAATTTATTCTATCCAATTTGCAATACGTGATTTAATCCGATCGCAAGATTTAATCTCAATGAAATTTCGAAAATTTTCAAGAAAATCGAAAATGTATACACGTTATATACGGGTTGGAGTAAGATTGCAAAAATAGAATTTCGAGGTGGTGGGAGAAAGATGTTTAAATATTTTGACGGATAGTCATTCTTGATGATGATTAGAATAATCAAGAGAATATGAATTGTTCGAATAAAATATTCATTCTTAAACATTTCTTTCTTAAATCAATAACTATTTCGTTCGTTAAGAAGCCTACAATGCTTCCGAATCGTTAAAAAAAAAAATAGATGAATAAAAATTTATTTAAACAACCATGCTTCAAACGCTTTCTACTTCATTTCCTCTTAAAGAATCCTAATCCATTCTTTCGAGAACAAAAACTATGGAAATTGAAGAATCGGCCTAAAAGATAAATAAATACCCAGCCTCGCTCGCTCCAAAACTCGTTCCAGGGAGAAGAAAACGGTTCTTATAAATATTTATTATTCGACAGGAGGAGAGGAAAAAGGAGGCGTGCTTTTCTTCTCTGAAGGTGTCGATCGAGCCTTCAATGCACGCGATATACGGCGGGATAAACGTTTCTCGAGGAGGTCTTCTTCCCCGACACCTGCAATTAACGAGAGACTTCCTACGAGGGACTTCCATATCGTGGACAAGTTTCGCGATAAACAGCGAGTTAGCTCGTTAATTCGAGCAATTCCGCACACTCTTCGTGCTCTTCTTCTCCTAGCTTGGCTTCCTATTTCTAAAACCGCTTCCGATTTTCCCACTTTTCGAGGAGAATCACGATTAACCCTTTGCTCCCCAGAGGTCACCACTGGGATTGTTGCGGCAACTCGAACGGCGACAATATTTATTTATGTTTGATTTTTTTAGAATATATTATAAATAGGTTCCTAAGCCCTTTACGTATAATCTTATGAGGTGTAATCTTATCTTATGATAATTTTGTGAGGCCACTAAACGCTTGGAACGCGCGGGTCTGAATCTGGAATTGTTCGACCGAGCGAAACAGGCAAACTGGAGTGCAAAGGTTAAACGATCGAAGAGAGCTCGATCGATCGATTTTATCTACGTACGTGTGATGGATGATCAAACGGATATCCACGGATCGATGTATGTCATAATTGACGAGAGATTACGCAAGGAATGTTGAGAAAGAAAACTTGTTCTTGCGAGCAAAGCGGCTATAAATAAAAAGCATCCGGTCTTGTTTCTTCTCAAAGGAACGCTTTCCTCCTCCTGTTCTATATATTTCATTCTCATCGTATCGAATTGTCGATGATACGTACGAAAATATTTGCTTAAATAATCCGATTCTCTTATTCTATTGGTTGATTGGTTGTATCAAATTATTTTTGATACGAAATATAATGATTATTAAATTAAGAACAAAGGGATCGTGAAAGGAAGAAAAATAATTTGGATTCTTGGATTCTTCACCTCAATTTTTCAATTTCGAGTTATAATACGATATTTGTTTTTCTTCTTTATCTCTTTCTCCTTCATCACGTTTCTTATATATTCCATTACAACGGATCTCGTATTCTTGTCATAATTATACCGTTTGAAACCGGGTGTATACGTTTACCCCCGTTCATTTAATTCCATTTCTCTCAGATGATGCAACTTTTTCACGAGAAAAAGAGGAAGGAGAAATCTCTCCTTACTGGATTTTTAAAACTAGGAAACCTCGATTCTCGATGAGCAGAATTTTTCATCGATTCCTCGACCTGTCGAGTAGCAACTTCGAGGACAAAAGGAGAGAAGGAGCGCGTCCATCCACCGGTGTGTGTTTTTCCCGTTTCCGGAATATTGCGAGGAGACACGCCTTTTATTATCGTTTTTCCCGAGAGCCGAGAAACATAAATCTATCCGTGACACAGGAAAGGCGGGTTTTCACGCGCGTATATTTGCCTCGACTTGTTGAGCACACGCTTAAAATAATATAAAATGCAATGATGATCAGTTTCGAAAGTATCGGTGATTTTTCAAAACTGCCGAGTGTGAGAAATCTGGAAAGGAAAATCTATTCTCGAAAGAATATTCTGGTCGCAGTATCGCGATAAGTTCGAAAGAATAAGAGGAGGAAGATTAAGAACGGAAGAATAAGAGGAGGCCTACGTCCATCGATAGAGAAACGTATTATAGAACGAAAGATAGAAACTGTGACTCGTGACTACTATTTCGAAGCATTTTTCGTCGTTAAAAACGTTTTAAAGACACGTAGAATCTTATGAAAGTATCAATGAATCGTATACGCTTATCGAAAGCGAATATATANCGAATATATGGAGAATATATATATATATATATATATAGCGTGTCATGTGTAATATTAATCGAGCTAATGGCACTCCACCACTAATGCAGTATGATGCATCGTACTATAGCATTACGAAACGTGATTATTGTAAAGTATCCATACCACCCTATACTTGTTGTATTGTTAAATATAGCGTTAATAAACATCGCTATGGAGGTATTTTAAAATTACTTATGGATACACGGAATGTTAAACGTATGCAATGCTATGCATCGAAGCCTAATATTAAGCCGAAATTACATAATAAAATAGCAGCGGCGCGTCACGCGATATTTTGCACGGAACGGCGTCGCGTTCCCGCTGCTGGCCGCACTACCACCACCACCACCACCACCACTTCAAACTTGGACGAGAGCGTAATTCAATAAAAAACGAGAGTGGATAATCGAGAGGATCCGGAATTGAAGGAGAGAAAAATAAAAGAAGAAAGAGGAGGAAAAACCTGAGCGCACGGATACGCAACAAACATCACGTTTTTTTCGCTCCTCTGTACGTTCCCCGATTTAATTTTAACCCACCGCTATAATAAACGGTGTATCCTCCCGATTCTAAATATACCATTACCGATTCGTGTTTTCGATTCGCGCTTTATCGAATTTACTTTAAACCACGGAATAATGAATTATTAATTTAATAATAATGAATGATTAATTTATCGATCGATCGAATATAGTCGATTTTTAGACTCGCTCCTGTTAAATTGTGTCAATTGTCACACGCAACTCAACGTGAACACGCGACCACCACGGTTAACACGAAGATCCTCGAGCAACGATTCTCGCGATATCGCGATGAATGATTAAGGAAGGTCGTTAGACGAAAGAAAGTTAGAAAAATGGAGAGAGGAAAGGAAAGGAATAGAAAATATTTTATTTACTTTTCACTCGAATATCAACGAGTTGAATTGAATTCCGAGAATAAATGGGGAGGAGAGGGAAGTGGAGCGAAGTACACTCACTGACGTAAGACCGCAAGTTTCAGTTGGTCAGTTGCATGTTTAAACCGGGTAAATTTCACTTCGTCTAAAATTGTTCCGTGCCCTCGTGTATGATCGTTCTGACGCAAGTGACGCAACCACGTGCCAAAACACGCTCGAATTCCGCCCGTGTAATCACCCGCCAATTTTTCGAGCCATAGTCGACTCCAAACTATACTCGCTTAACGTTTTCAAAGCGTATCAATATATATATATATATATATATATACAGTCGACTATACGGTCGAAGAAAAATTTGTTGAAAATACAAATGGCGAACGCGTATTAGCTGGAACGAAAAACATGGTTCCACGGTTGGAAGCGTGGAATACAGAGTCACGTGGGAGCTCGAACGCGGAAAGAGAAACTAATTAAACGAGGCATCAACTGTTGCTTCGCTTTTCACTCCCAACTTTTCATCGGTTCAAAGTGCATCCTGACAAGCGCCACCGTTTACCGTCTCTCTTTTTCTTTCTCTCTCGCCTCTGCCTACGCTTTATCTTACGCGTGCTAAATAAAGCGAATAGCGCGTCCCGATCGATTCCTAGGTTTCGCACGTATCTATGGCTTACTCGAAATTATTCTTTTATTTTTCTTTTATTCTTTTCAATGAAATTATCCTTCGAAATGCAAACTAATAAGTTCTGGAAAAAAGAATTGCTAAGAAAAATTGTTTCGTCTCTTTAAACACATTTTCAGTCGAAGGAAAAATTATTCTATACTGATGGAGTCTCGAGGGGCAAGAAGGATCCCTTGCTAAAATCGCCTATCTTCGTTTTCTTGACACGCCTCTTCACACGCTATCGTAATAAAAGAGCTACGATTTGATTATCCGTAAAATCGTAAAAATTATTATTTTCACTCGCAAAGTTACGTTAGGATAATCGTCCAAGATTGGAAATTATTTCGATATCGATCTAGCTATCTCTCTTCTACAATTGTTATCCCTCGAAAGCAAAATTGCAAATTAAAGACCTTCGTTAAAGCAAAAATGAAAATTTTCAATTTTCAATCCTAGTTGAACTTCTCTCACGAAGCGGCAACTCGAGTAACTCTGCCCTCTCGATACGTGTATCGCGAGAGGAGCGTGCGTGGGCCATTTAATCGGTCCCAGGTTGCGCCCGACCACACGATGTCGCGTTTTCCAAGCCGTTCGCGCCACTTCCCACGGATAATTCCGGATAATCCCAGATAGATCGTTGCGTATTTAGAGCAATTTCGGAGCTCGTCCTTGGCCAAACTCCTCCGCTGGGGCGATGAATATTGCTTTTTAACCGTATCATCGATTCGGTATAATTCAAGGCCGGCCTCGTGGGATTGCGCCTTCCGCTCGATAATAACCGGGGGGAGAGCATTTTCCACTCGGCCCCCCTCCTCCTTCCCTCTCGAGTGATCAGGGGAGGCGCGAGACGGTATCGGGACGGGACGAGATTCAAGTTTGTGTTCCACGATTATACCTCGAATAAGTTGGAGGGAGGTTGGTTAAGTTTCCTTAACCGGGATATTTCCCTAGCCCTATCGAGATCGTATTTTTCTCTTTAGATTTAGAACAGGCTGGAATGGATATTGCGGCTTTCGGGGGATCGATCGAGCTTTGCCGGCAATTTTCACAATTTTTACAATTTTTCCGTTCCGATCAACGTCCACCGATTGTGTATTTTTCGATCGATGGAACGATTTATTTAAAAAGAGGCGATATCCTTCTCTGAATAATTTTGTATAATAATAACCGTGATTATTAACCGTTTAACCGCTCGATGAATCAACTTAGATACGGATATTTTTAACCATATATCATATCGGAAAAACGATAAGAGGTCAGTCAGAGACTCTTCGAATAATCGCTACGTTTACAAAATTTCAAAGTTCCATTTGTGAAAAACGTCTAAAATCCCATTGATTCTTAAAGCTAAATTAACTTTTCCTCGCGAGAAGATTTTTAAAAAATAAAAGAACGTATCTTCTTCTTTTTTTTTTTTTTTTTTCTTTCTCTCAATATTTAAATATTTTCAATTCGTGTCGAAGTGAACGTGATACGCGAGTTGAAAATTGAGAGAGGGAGAATTTCACGATAAAGAAACTCGTTTCGAGCGACACTTGATTCGAGCTCGGCGGAAACTCGCCGCGAAGTCTGCCCTTGCACAATCGAATTAATGACAGGAAGCAATGATACAATTACTCGGCAGCCACTTATTAAACAGAGGCTCGGCTGCGTTCATCCGTTGATTGCCCGAGAATCGAGAGTACCGCCGTGAAATCTGAACATCTCGCGTTGCATCGAATTAGTTTAGCAACATCAGCTTGCCCTGATTACACCCTTTTTATCTCGGAAACTCGGATATATAAAATAAGATCGACATCGTTGCAAGTCGAATACTAATATAAACTGTACGCATATAGGTATAATCGCAAATGATATACCACGTCACTACGATTCTATTAAAATTTATATATTCAAACGTATTCGTCGATGCTCGAAAAATCATGATTCTAAATACTCTGTTTTATTTATTAAGTTAACGTTAAATTGCATTGACTTTGCATATAATTTTAAACTGCATTTTTTGCTCTGTGAAAATGTGATATTAATTTTACTTTCAAATTAGTTTTCCTTATTTCTCAGAGTGTTGAAAACATAATGGACAAGAAGCAAATTTTCCAAGAACAATTTTCCTATTTCCTGAATTTTATTCAATCGGAATAACAAAAGTGCATTGATCGCGATGGTCTTTATTTTCGATTAATAAAATTTTGTTTGAGATACGTTCTCTATTTGAATTTAACAGTTAAAAACCGCGAGAAATTTCTTTCCAACCTGATATATATATATATATATATATAAAAGCGGAGGAGGAAAATATCGCTTACTACCGACTAATAAAACTCGAGAGGTCGAAAGACTGGGGCCACCGCGATAGCCGTAGATTAAAGAATGACTAAATTTCCGTCGAAACAACCGAGCAAGAGAAACATATTCGGAGCTATCTACCATTTCCAGAATATACGCCAATTCCAAAGTGTGCACATACGATATTTAATCCTCTATTCCGTTCCCAATCGAGGACTCAAATTTCAAAGGTATATGTATTCGGGAAAATACGTACAAAAATTAAAAAATTAAAATGCTGTTATTTATTTCGTGATCGCACATTCATTTTTAAGTAGGCTATACATATTTTTTTTTTCAACTCGTTATAAAAATTCATGCGACAGAGACTCAGCCATATCCGCTGTATAAAATATTCCCAAAGAAGACGCCAGCCAAATCGAAATTCGACTTTTTAGACGAAGTTTAGTGTGGATAATATCGGAAAAATTTGTCGCGACACGGGAGGATAGGAGACAGATAGGAGGGAGTGAGGAGAGAAACGAGAGGAGATTAAAACGGGGGTGTTGTCGCGAGAGTGCTAAATTGCAGCTTGGAACGTGGCAACGTCCGCGCTGCTCCGCAGAGATAGGGGGCTTGCTTCTTTCGTGGAAACAGACACAAATTTTCTCCGCTTAATTCCATCTCCAACGGAGGACTGTAATTGAGAAACGAGAGGCTTCGCGTGAAGGCCACGGTGAAATTCTTCCTTCTCGAAAACTCGAAGAGGAATCGTAAAGAGACGAATAAGTCTCTTTCTCTCTCTCTCTCTCTGTCTCGTGATTAAGATAGGGGAATATCGATTGTCCGCAATGATCAATTCCTCGAATCTAGGGGGTTATCTAGGGGAACTGGAACTTTATTTATTTTAGACTTGATTTCGCGAAGCGAAATGAAGAGTTCGAGGAAAGATAGGTTCGATAATTAGATCTCGTGGAACAAGCTTCGCGTTTACGGGTTTCTTCGAAAATTCACTTCGATAATTTAAAATAAAGACGGGCTTGTGTCGCGGTGAGAGGATAATAAAATTTATGCGGTATTCGAAATTCGCGTAAACGTCAATTTAACGCCCCATAACGGTGAAATTCGAGGGAAAAATGCACG